ACAAAAGAAAAAGGAAAGAACAGAAAGGGAAAGAAAAGAAAAGAAAAGAAAAAAGAAAGGGAAAGGAAAGGAAAAAGCAGAAAAGAAAGAAAAAGGAAGATGGAGGGAGTAGAAGGTAAGGAAAGAGAAAGGAAAGGAAAACAACAAAAAGCAGAAAAGAAAAAGGAAGAAGGAGGGAGGAGAAGGAAAAGCAAATTGTAAGGAAAGAAAAATTTAAAGAAAGAAGGAAATAGACAGAAAGGGAAAAAAGGAAAATTAAAAAAAGGAAAAGAAAAAAAAGACAAAAGGGGAAGAAAAGAAAAAGGAGAGGAAAGGGAAAAAGGAAAAGAAAAAAAAGAAAAGAAAGGGAAAGGAAAGCAGAAAGGGAAATGAAAGAAAGAGAAAAAAAGAAAAGGAAAAGGAAAGAAAAGAAAGTGAAAGGAAAAAAAAAAGAAAGGGAAAGCAAGGGAAAGAAAAAAAGAAAAGAAAAGGGGGAAGGGAAAGGAAAAGAAAGGAAAAGAGGGAAAAGTTAAAAGGGAAAGAAAAGGAAAAGGGAAATAAAAAAGGAAGGAATGAAAATTAAATGAAAAATAATGAAAATTAGGGAGAAGGAAAGACAAAGTAAGGAAATTCCAAAGGAAAGTAGAATGGAAAGAGAAGAGAAACAAAGCAAAACAATAAGTTTAAAAAGGGGGGGGAGTTGGAAGAAAAAGAAAATTAAATGGGCAGTAAAAGGAAAGGAAGAAATGGAAAGAGAAATTAAAGCAAAGGGAAAGGAATAGAAAGGGACAGGAAAGGAAAGGAAAAAATAACAGAACATGAAAGGAAGAAAGGGATGGTAAATACCAAAGGAAAGTAGAATGGAATGGCAAGGAATAAGAAAAAGAAAGAAAGATAAGGAGGGAAAACTGGAAGAAATGGAAAACGAAAGGGCCAGTTGATTAAATGGAAGGAGAGGGAAAGGAAGAAGGGAAATGAAAGAAAAAAGAAATTCAAAAAAGTGAGAGGAAACGGAAAGGATTGATAGTCACTGAAAGTAACAAATTGTGTTTAAAAAAAGTACTGTTTCTGAGTTCTCTTTGAGGCTCCAATGTGAATACCACTGACGCTATTTTCTGTTAAGTAACAAGAATGACTCAAAACATGTAAAAAAAGAAAAGTATAGTAGACTCTTCTGAAAAATGCAATATTAATTAAAAAAGAAAACAAATAAAGACGTAAGTGATAGGGGAAGTAAGGAAGAAAAGAAGAAAGGAATATTTAAAATATGTGAAATACATTCTTCTAGGTTTGAGTTGTACTTTACTCTCAGACAGCAGCAGCACACATGATTTCCTGCTGTGTAAAGCAATACTGTAAACCTATAAATTAACAACAACCACACAAAAATGAATAGATAAAAAAAAGGACAACTCTTTTTTTTAAACAACAGGAGTGAAACAGGCTTTTTCCCCTTTCTCTGTCCCCATATCAGGTCAATAAACAGTGACATTTTCTTGCTTAATTGTATATTCAGTCTGCAGTGTTAATAGCACTGGATAAATGGATGTCTTTGTAGCTGTGTTCTTTCAGCGGCAGTCACGTGGCAGTCTTTACCCGGCACACAAGAATCCGGCACAGTGTTTATTCATCAGGTGCCGCAGCAATTTTCAAATGGCATTATACATCAAAGGATGCAAGATGTGGCTGAGTCTTTGTCGCAGCTCTGATGATCGATTTTACACAGCACTATTTAAAGATACATCAAATCGGCATCAAGCCAATTATGGATGAGGTTTATCGCCTTGCTAGGTGGCCAGGTCAGCCACAAATAAACAGCTATTTGTCAGTGAATCATACACCACACTGATGGCTAATGCATGTCCTGCAAAACAGATCATCTATTTCTACAGCTTTTGTTCTTTTCGGCCCATTCTCTTTCAATTCCTATGAAAAATCATCATATTGTAATAACACATTACACAGAATGCTTCCATTTTTGGGATGCATTCTCTAATGGATGATCACAACAAACAGTGAATGTTTTTGCTGATAAAACTAAACTACAGGCAAATATTTAAACAAAAAAAATGTAGTAATGTATTTATTCAAACAAAAAAAAATGAAATTTATTTTAAATACCGTATAAATGCTGAAATTTGATTCATGTTCAGATTATTGTAATCCACTCTGCAACAAACTGTGTTGTTTTACTGCAACAGAGAAAAGTCAGACCACTAAACTGGCTGTGCTGTCTATCAGGCCTGTGTAAATTTCAGGACTGTATGGACAGAAATATACAGTAAATCCTATTGTAGGTGAGACAATGCCCATGGACAGTGCCTTGAAAAAGTATTCATACCTCTTGAAATTTTCCACATTTTGTGACACATAATTTTGAAGTGGAAGGAAAACGATAAATGGTTTTCAAAATTTTATACAAATAAATATGTGAAAAGTGTGGCGTGCATTTGTATTCAGCCCTCCTGAGTCAATACTTTGTAGAACCACTTTTCGCTGCAATTACAGCTGCAAGTCTTTTTGGGAATGTCTCTACCAGCTTTGAACATCTAGAGAGTGAAATTTGTGCCCATTCTTCTTTGCAAAATCACTCAAGCTCCGTCAGATTGGATGTAGCGCGTTTGTGAACAGCAATATTCAAGTCTTGCCACAGATTCTCAATTGGATTTAGGTCTGGACTTTGTCTGGGCCATTCTAATACATGCATATTCTGGAAGGTGAACCTCCACCCCAGTCTCAAGTCTTTTGCAGATTTAAGCATCCCCACAACATGATGCTGCCACCACCATGTTTGCTGTCTCCCCCAAATGGCTTCTCACAAACTGCAAACAGGACTTCTTTTGGCTTTCTTTCAACAATGGCTTTCTTCTTGCCACTCTTCCATAAAGGCCAGATTTGTGGAGTGCACAACTAATAGTTGTCCTGTGTACACATTCTCCCACGTGAGCTGTGGATCTCTGCAGCTTCTCCAGAGCTTCCATGGGCCTCTTAGCTGCTTCTCTGATTAATGCTCTCCTTGCCCAACCTATCAGTTTAGGTGGATGGCCATGTCTTGATAGGTTTGCAGTTGTGCCATACTCTTTCCATTTTCGGATGATGGATTGAACAGTGCTCTGTGAGATGTTCAAAGCTTGAGATTTTTTTATAACCTAACCCTGCTTTAAACTTATCTACAACTTTATCCCTGTCCTGTCTGGTGTGTTCCTTGGCCTTCATGATGCTGCTTGTTCACTAATGTTCTCTAACAAACCTCTGAGGGCTTCACAGAACAGCTGTATTAAATACTGAGAATTATACACAGGTGGACAATGCACACCACACTTTTAAGATACTTATTTGTAAACCATTTTGAAAACCATTTATCATTTTCACAATATCAGCCATGTTAATCAAAGTTTTAACAGCTATGAAGCCTTCCTGACATGAAGGATGTGAATATATTACTAGAACAGTAATTCCACAACTTTCACTCCTCCCATTCTGGTCTTTCCATGGTGATTAGATTAAAGCGGTTATAAAGGTTTTTATTTCTCAAAATAGCAAAAACTTTATACGTACCTGCTCTGTGGAATGGAATGTTGTATGTACTGTGGGATACCAGATATAGTGAATACAGGGTCCTGTGTTTAGTAACACTTTAAAGAAACACCCAACAGGAAATTAATGAAATCGCTCACATCAAAATACCTATGTATTAAAGAGCCTGCACAGCTTCAATCTATTCCCATGCCTTGTGCCACATTCTAGCCTCTCAAGCACATACAGGGGCAACTACAGTGAAGAAAAAAAATGGGCTTTCGGACTTTACAGGTGCCACTTCAATGCAATGCACTTGTTTGGATACCTATTTGAAACAGTTTTCCTCAATATGAATAATTCCCCTGTTATATCCTCATTAGTCAGCTACTTCTTGTAATGTGCCATATAGACTTCATTCTTATTTATATCCTAATAGCTGGATCATCCAATAGGGTACGGGTGAAAGTCAACACTTTTTGCAGTATGTATACACTGCTTCTTCAGGAAATGTGGAAGATGACTACACATGTGGGATGGATAGTGCGCAAAACGCAGCAAACCTAAGTCCTCTCAAATAACACTGAGGATCTAGAAAGATGCCAAGCATTTCCTGAAGACGTTACATTTAATTCCATAATTATGACATATCCAAACCTCTTAAACTACAGAAGGAGCATAGTAATTCTGCCTTGTGGTTGTGATCCTCCATCTCCAAGGCAGCCAACCCATCAATCCAATAGAAGGGTTAGAAGATACTATAAACACAAGAAAAGACAGGGGCACCTATAAGAGTAGATGTTGACCGTACATTGGACATCCAGAGGTGATAATGCTCATCTTTGGGTGTGGCCTATAACACACATGTGTAATCCTGGTGAGTGGGCTCCTGAAAAAAATTGATGGATGTCAAGGAATCCATTTCTATACAAATCTTCTGTACAAAAGTTTTCTGTGGATGATATTGCTGTTGAATATGATAAATAGATAGTAAAATTAATTATTTGGATACATCAAAAGGTAAGGCTCACCTGAGCAGGTGGCCGTGTGTAAATCATAAACTTTATAATCATCCTGATCATTTCCACATGACAGATAAAAACAATTTTATTATTTAAAATTCTCGCATCCTCATCAACAGTAACAAAGTAACAAGTGAATGCATGATTTAAACTTATATAAATTTATATCACACTGGTTAATAGATATTGCAGATACAAATTCGTATGTCTGTTTTCTAAATTTTTCTCAGGCTTAAATAGAAGAATATGTTTGTTTGTCATAGAAGCAGGCATCAGGTTTCTTTCAGTGTTTGAGTGGACACATCTTAAACAAATGCCACTGAATAAGTTTGCACAAGCTGTCCTCTAATACAATGGCAACATAGATGCTCTTGTGGTACGTGTGGCAATAGTCAACTGGCAATTAGGTGTTTCCATTGTCTTTACAGGAATAATGGGCAATTGATGCATTCTGTAACCAAGGTCAACGTAGCCTGACATTTTTACATACACTATATTGCCAAAAGTATTGGAACCCCTCCAAATCATTGGATTCAGATGTTCCAATCACCTCCATGGCTACAAGTGTATAAAATCAAGCACCTAGGCATGCAGACTGCTTCTACAAACATTTGTGAAAGAATGTTGTCGCTCTCAGGAGCTCAGTGAAGTCAAGCGTGGTACTGTGATAGGTTGCAACTCAGCCATGAAGTGATAAGCCACGTAAAATGACAAAGGGGGGTCAGCACATGCTGAAGCGCACAGTGCGCAAAAGTCGCCAACTGTCTGCAGAGACAATAGGTAAAGACCTCCAAACTTGGTGTGCCCTTCAGATTAGAACAACAACAGTGTGTAGAAAGCTTCATGGAATGGGTTTCCATGGTCGAACAGCTGCATCTAAGCTTCATATCACCAAGTGCATTGCAAAGCATCGGATACAGTGGTGTAAAGCACGTCACCACTGGACTCTTGAGCAGTGGAGATGTGTTCTCTAGAGTGACAAATAGGGCTTCTCTGTCTGGCAATCTGATGGATGTGTCTGGGTTTGGCGGTTACACACAGTCCTGACCTCAACCCTATAGAACCTTTGGGATAATTTAGAGCGGAGACTGTGAGCCAGGTCTTCTCGTCCGCCATCAATGCCTGACCTCACAAATGTGCTTCTGGAAGAATGGTCAAACAGTCCCATAGACTCACTCCTAAACCTTGTGGACAGCCTTCTCAGAAGAGCTGAAGATGTTATAGCTACAAAGGGCGGGCCAACTCAATACTGAGCCCTATGGATTAAGACTGGGATGCCATTAAAGTTCATGTGCGTGTATAGGCAGGCGTCCCAATACTTTTGGCAATATAGTGTATATGTGTGTGCTACATTACAGGTAATAAGAAGAACCAATTCAAATGACAAGTCCAAAAAATATAAACTGTAAAGTCCCAATGTGATGTTGTGCTCAATATCTCTTCCCCTAAAGCTGCTTTCACACTGATCCATTTTTCTGTCGCTTTTGCATTAAAAATAGCAGAAGAAAAACGTGCTACCATGTATTCTTATGGAACTCTTTACACTAATCCATTGCAGGTCTGGTGGATTTGTCAAAGTCCTGCTTGCTGCATTTTTGGTGCAGGTTTGGTGCGCTAATAAAAATGCACCAAAAACGCACCTTCCCATTAAAATCAATGGAAAATGATGCAAAAACGCATCAGAATGCACCTTTGTTGTGTTTTTGGTGCAGTTTTTAAGTTGCATGTCTTTTAAAAAAACACACTACAAACGTGGTAAAAACATGGAAAAAAAGTATATGCATTTTTGCCGCAGTTCAGTGTGAAAGTAGCCTAAGACAAGCTGTATACACCTGGTGCCGATTTACATTTGTCTTTTTGCACCATTTAATAATTGGTGCACCAAGTTATGCTATGAGACCTCTTCCCTGTCATCTTTGTTCCTGAGTGGAGTTCTAACACATGTGGAAACCTATCCGGTGCATACAAGCGGTGATAAAAGCATACGGGTGTCCCAAAAGCGCTACTGACTTAATTAGAGATAGTTGGTCAACTTTTTGCAGTGAGTGTCAGTCTATGTGGGGCACTAGCAACACTTGGAGTGGAACACTGCGTTATGTCTACAAAGAGCACAAGTGCTTTATATTGAGCACAAGATCACATTGGGACTTTACAGTTTTATATTTTTTGGACTTGTCATTGGAATTGATTGTTATTATTACCTATGATGTAGCACACACATATATTTTATGTAGTATTAATGCGAGTTGACTAGTGTTCTCTTAGTGACAGTGCGGTTTGCACATGGCAGTTTATTATGTTTTTTGTGTTTATTTAGCACATAGAGTTAAGCGCAGCAGTCACATAGAGTATAATGGTAAGCTCCAAGGAGCAGGGCCCTCCTATCCCTCTTGTATTGAACTGTATTGTTGCTGTATTGTCTCCCTTTATATTGTATATAAATCCTGTATAATAATAATGGTCTTTTAAGTATTTGGCACACTTTTATTTATTTATTTTTTGTATCCAAGCTGCAGTGTTTTATTATTATTCCATTAAGTAACTTTGGTCTATTCATATTGTTTTGACTTTCGCACAAGTATCTGATATGTCAATGCTCACAAACAGAGTACAGACTATAACTCTCTTAAAGGAATGATTGATCACTTGTTGAAGTTGGAATAGTAAAAGAATGGTTCTCAGGTAATTACAGAACAAGTTTGCATACATACATACAGTAAATACTGTACATACACACTGAATATATAAAGGAGTTTGCAAAACCTTGACTAAGTGCTGTGAGAGCATGAAATGCGTCAATCTTGTCCTGCCCTGTTGTACCCCACTATGTGATGATTTTTAATGTGGAGTCTGAAGTGTGCAGCTAATACGTGTACCCTAGATCTTTGAAGTATGGCTGGTGAGCCAAGTTAGCATCTGGAAAGATTTGCACAATTAAGCAGCTTTGAAATGATCACCTGAAGCAGCGTACATCTATATTACATTTGAAAAAACCTTTTCAGGAACATAAAAAAACATTTCTGTACCTTATAAGATGCATAAAAAATGTTTAAGAACAATTTAATATTGATCCCTGACATAGGTCTGGGGTTCTACATCCTCCTAGAGCAGAAAAAAACCCTCCTACAAGCATTAACCAGTGCTCAGCTGAAGTCACAAGACTGCTCTAACTGCTGATGATAAAAGGTATTTAGCAGTTTATATTTACTAAAATAATTGCATTTCCATGTTGTGTGTACTGTGGGAGACCAGATATAGTGAGTGTAGGGTCCTGGGTTCAGTAACACTTTAAAGTTTTTTGGGGGGTTTTTCTTTTATAACAACCCTGTCATATTTACATGCTCTGTTTTGCCACAGCTACCCCTGCATCAAGGTAAAACCCTTCAGCCTTTACATCCACTATAAGCCATATAGGAGGGGATTCATGTATTACTGTTTACAGGTAAAAAAAAGAGCCTTATCCAAAATAGATTTCTTCTTGGTGCCCTTTTGTGGGGTCTTTATTGCTGCACAGAACCACAGCGAGGAAGCCTCAACCTAGTCCTTCATTTCTGTAAGCAGGTAAACTTTGCTTTTTAGGCAATATAGATGACAGCGCCAAACCAATAAGTGATATTTCAAGTATATGTATTGCTTCATAGGAGGTTAGTAAAGATAAGTCAACATGTCCCAGGGGTTTCAAAGCTATTTCTCTTCTACATCTAACCATGCTGTAAACACCAGCTGCTGCAACCATGATTTTGGCACAAAAGTATCATTTTATTTTTTTAAACAATTTTTGAGTATTGGAACATAATTTTCAACTAGCGTCTAAATCCCTGATGAAGAGGGACCTTTAGGACCCCTGAAATGCATTGGCTTGTCTGTACAGACTATAAATACATTGGGGTTTTTGATTATTGTTTGGAACTCTATGTTACCCCATAGATGCTTCTTCATGGTTGACAGCAGCCTAACCGAAGTCAGTGCACCCCATAATACACAGCACTGTGAGATACTGTATAATCTATTTTGGATCCAATGCCTCTGACCTATGCCTTTCATAAACTCTGCTTTTTCAGCAGTGCTGCCATTGTCACTTGCCTGTAAAATCCTCCAAGCACAGAAAATCCAGATCATCTGCGCAGACTTAATAACTACAGTACGTAAAATCTTATTATGCCCGTTGGTAAGACGGAATAGCAAGTCAAAAATGCTGTCTGTGTAGAAACGGAATTGAACGGAATTGAATGGTAAATGACATTCTGTAAAGCTTTTTAGGAAACTCAAAAGTACAACATGCTGAGAAAAGAAGCAGATTGCACAGTTCTGCTTGTTAAGATCCATTTATCGTCATCTGATCTGCATTTACCCCAATAACAAACATGACCTAACAACTAAAGATCTTCCTTCTGCCCAGCAGACAGAGACAGCGACATGACTATTTAGTGTAATGGTTTGATTAAATACCAATTACAAGATAATGGCCATAATTTAATGCTGCCTCGTACACACATCATTTGTATCTGATTTGATCTTCACCATCAGACCGTCTTACATCCATTTAACGTTCTTCTTTCTGCCAACTCCAACATTACCATTAGAAAGCACAAGAGTTGTGTGTCCTAAAATATGGCGGCCATTACCGTATCTCATTGTCTTTTAATATAAAAGGCTGCTATCTTCGGGGGGAGGGGTTTGTATGCACTAAATACATCCACCGACTCTGATGGACTCAAGAAGAAAAAGCCTTTTAGGCTAGTTGAGTTATTTATCAAAGAAGGAAATAGGGGGCAATATAAAGGCCATTTTGAAGAATAAAGTAGTTCTTGAAGCACAGTATCTATAATGCACTTAAAGTCAGAAGAAAAAAAAAACTTTTACAAGGATTTAAATACTTGGAGAACTTTCATGTTTCATTATTGAAAAAAAAAAAAAAAGAAACATTGGGAAGATATGAGATTGATTATAATTTTGATGTGAATTACACAATGAGCAGTGTTTGCTGTTAATGAAATCCTGGCTGATAACAGCCCTCTCGGAAGAGAACTGGAACACAATGCAGCCCAAGAAGCTGAGGCCCATTGCTAATTTACTGCAAGTCCATTAGCTCTCAGAACAGGATATTTAAAACCTTTGTGAGCTGCTTGCACATGGAATTAGGATTTGTATTTAATTTTTCCAGCATTAAAGAAAACAGTAATCAAAGATGTAATTTGACTCTCACCAGCAGATTTGTCATTTTCATATAACTCATATTTTTGATATCAAGAAATGTTTATGATGCAAGGTGAGGTGATGTGTCAGTGGAATAATGCCTGCAAATATATACAGCATAGTTATACAATGTGCATCTCCAAAAGGAGTCCTTGTACACACTTTGGAGTCAGCTAGGGCTCATGTACACTGCAGCTGATAAACTCACGTTCAAGAGCTTTTCTGCATTTTGTTTTTCAGCAGCCCCTGAACTCTCCCTGTTTTCCTATGTGTCCATGTACACATAGTAGTTTACAGGCAGTTGAGTTTACAGTCGTTTCTTTGAAAGCACCAAACTTGCGCTCAGGAGATTTT